TAATTTCAACTAAAAAGGACTTATATTTATACATTGCTGGTTTAAGAGTTGTTAACCATTTTAACATATAAAACGTCAAATTCCATCTTGTTGAAACATCACAAACTACAAAAAGAAAATTATCCCAGTCTTCCATCTCAATTTGAGCTTCTAGAAGAAATTGTTTCTGCTTAGGGCTTCCACTAAAATGCGATACAACATCTTTGCATTTTTTTATTAAATTAGTAATTTCGAAGCACTCTTTTAATGCATTGTTAATTGCTAGCTGTAAAGTATAACCAAAACAATGAATATTAAAAATGCCATATTTTCGTTTTAGTTTTTCTAAACATGATTTAATATTTGACCCGTTATCAATTGTACCACTAACTATAATATGTTTAAGTTGAAGATTATCTAAAATTTGAGTAATTTTATTTACAAGACATTTGGAGGTGTGGGGATATGGGAGATACGAAATGTTACCAATCATTTCTTTTGCTTGAAAATTATTATTAACCCAGTGGAGAGTAAGACCAATATACGGATCACCATTATTCGATGTCCACATATCGGTAGTAAATGAAATATGACTAATTTCAGCACTATCAAATGTATATTCATGGAGGTTCTGCAGAACCTTATCCTCAGAATTAATTAGAATTTCCTTCAAACGATCGTAACTAAGCACGTTGGCTTGTACATCAAGCCCTTCAATTATTCTTTTAAATGCCTGTGATTGAATAATTGAAAACGGCTGAAGTTCTTCAACAATAAAAGCAGCTATGTTGTGATCAAGATTTTTTTGTTTTGGGTTAGTAGGAGTATATTTTTTAATTTTTTCAAATGCTTGCACTATCATTGTTTGTGAAGATTCTGATATCACAGAAAATTCACACTTATTATTTTCCTTTACCACGACCTTTACTCGACCACCTTCTATCATTGCTCGTGAAATATGATGTCTATTTCTCATATAATACCATAAATTCGAAGTGGAGCCATCCTTTATATATTTTATTCACGGAATATAAGATTTATGATGACAAGACCAATAATCTATATTATTACTTGATATTGTCTTAAAAAATAGTTTAACAGGGCTACTGCCCGGTCTTTCAATTTTTTTTCGTTTTCTAACTAAATCTTGACTAATAGGTTGTGATAACACAGAGTCTTCATTAACATCCGTATTACCAAATTCTGTCCCATCCAAATTATCGTTTTCAGGATCTAACACCATATCATCTTCGGGCTCTAACACCATATCATCTTCGGGCTCTAACACCATATCATCTTCAGGCTCTAACACTGTATTATTCAAACATTCGTCGCTCATAATTCTAGTGTTGGCCATTTTGGGTCATATACAACTTTATATGACCAAGGTGGTCATAATGTAATAGTAAATTTTATAAGTCATAAAAGGTCATAAGGTCATAATTTATAGTTATCCAATAGGTCATAACAGATCATAGGCCAACACTGCATAATTTAAAATCTGCAACCTTTGCTGGTCTTTGATAAATTAAATGTTCTTTGAATACTAACAATAATTTAACATTATTTAGCACTCTTATATATAGTAAATGAATAACTGAAGAAAGATAATGTAATAAATTACCAATACTTTACGACAACAATAATATTTCGGGTGCCGAAACACTGCAAGTGACCTAGCAAGTAAAATTTGGGAGTTAGAAACTTTATATATGTGCGAACAATACAGAAAATCATAACTCAGGTATGGTATATTTACCATTGTCATTTCTCTTCTACACCAATTCCAAAGTGACAACAATGCAATGATTTTAAAAATTCCCATGAAATTATCAGTCTTAGCTGATTTAGATAATGCACCAATGCTTTATGCTTATCTAATTCAGCCCAATTCGCTTGGCTTTAGCTATTTTGTGAATGTACTGAAACAAAATTTGATACGTAAATATTTCTAGCATGTAATGCTATGGTAACAGAGAAGAGTGATGCATTTAAAATTCCTGTTAGAACTGACAAAAAAATGTTTGCTTACTACGTAATAAAATTGTAATTTTGTCATTTGAGATTATTTAGCAATTTAAGTTTTAAATTATCTTTAAATACCTTATTATGAACGATAGTTTTTGCTTCTTTGTATATGAGTTCTATTTAATGAGAACGCAATTATTTAAGTTGCACCGGCTTTTTAAATTAGGAAGATAATCGAATTTGTCTGCATATTACCATTGTTTTTACAATGATAATATGCAGATATTGTACATAAGACAGAGTCCTCAGATTTTTGTAGCATCTAAAATAGCGCAAAATAGCTAGCAACAATTGCCTTGTACTAAGATGCGAAATTTGCTACGTTTGCACTAAACATATGATTATTACTTTTGTTCTTGGTAATTATAAGCATATTTTAGATGATAACCGAAGAACTTATTGAAATGATAGGGATAGATAAAGAGCTTGCAGAGAAAGAATTCTTAATAAATATAAATTTATAATAAGCTATTTTGCTAAATTCGCTGA